AAATTATGCTCCAAGTTGTCAACCACCAAATTATCCCAATAATTATGCCGGCATAATCCACCGGTACGGTGCCTAGCGGTGACCAAGGTGACTCATGATGGAAAACAAGGGCTGAAACTTTTTTCTAGCATTTCCCTAGGAGTGTGCTGTAAAATGCAGGAGTTGAGCACGAGGTCAACCCCATTGCCCAGGAGCTACGTGTAGATGTACATGACCGTTATATCAAACCAACCGGGGTTTTCTCCCATAGAAGCCTAGCTCGAATTCATGATGGAAGACAAGGCCTGAAACGTCCCCCCATTTTCTGGGGCGTGTGTTGTAAAATACCGGAGTTGAGCACGAGGTCAACCCCATTGCCCAGGTGCTACGTGGAAATGTACATGCACATGACAACAACTACACTAAAAAATGCTCTCAACAACAAGACGTATAGCGAGAGAACAGAAGTGCACGATATTAATTATATTATACTGGCATACCTGTACACGTCTTCTTCTTCTCAAAAACCTGTACATGTACACTATAAAAGCGTAATGAGCTGTGAATCAACCTTGCCAAAATAGTACCACAGGAATCCATGTACATGTACGTGTACGTGTACGTGTAACAGCACAACCGGCCACTTTGTGACTTTAGTGCGACCTTCTGCTACTCCATTGATAGTGATACCGTTCACATCATTCCTTCCACAACAGTACCCTGCAGTAGTGGTCATTGGAAACGTTACGTCATCACAACAATGAAAAGAACTGCAATGTACATGTACGTTCAAGCTTGTGCAGGCCCTACTCTTCCCATTGTTGTGTTGTCCTGCTACTGCTCTCCCCTCGTCTTACGAGTAGGTTGTGTCTTCAGCAGTAAAATATGGAATATACATGTATACTGTTGTGAATTCCAGCAGAAATCAAAGAGAGCTCGATACCGGGAAGGTAGAGCCGTGACACACTAGTCAGAACAACAGATGGCTTGATCAGTCACAACTTAAAGTTTCATGCCATCTCAGGCACTCATCAGGTGATATGAACATCAAGAAAAATAACCCACTATTTAAAGCCCAGTATGGCGGGACAAGGATAACAGAAAGCGCTAGGGGCGCTATCAACTCATATCCGATTCAGTGTCATAGCCAGTAAGGATCGCGGTACTAAGGTGATAAAGGATAAAGGTGATAAAACTGAGCTGGCCTAGCTAGTGAGTTCCGCGGTACGCAGAAAAAACTCTCGTAAGCCCAAGGGGAAGTGGTTGATGAGGGATGAATGCACTCTCCACGCTCATCTACACTGTTCGTGGAAATGCACACATACATACAATAATATACAACATAGCAATAGCATGCACAGAACTGAACAATTTCATGTTCACACGTGCAAGCACAGACCTGAACATTAGTACCAAAAGCCGACACAGACAATATCCCCATACACACAGACGCACACACACACAATGTCCCATGTATGCGCCCGTGGCAAGAAAAGCACGCAAATCTACAAATGCACTGGATGTGAACCCACAGATTTTCTCTTATAGCAACGATAGCGGATCTGATTCTGAATGAAACACACACAATACAATCATTGAATGTCCATCCGCAGATGATAGCAGGTCCTGAAAGAACAGGCAGTGTTCCAGTGATGGGGAACAGAACTTCGAGTGGCGAGTGAGGTATACACACACACACACGTGCGTGCGCGGGCACACACTAAAGTATTCAGAAATAGAATCGACATCGTAGTATTCATTGGTTGGGGAATGGAAAGGAAAATAAAACATTGCTGTAGGTTATTGTTGTAAGGACACTGGGAGCACAACAGAAAGGTAAGCAACTTGCTTTGAAGCAAAGAAAGTTATTATTCCACGGATCTCAGAAGGAAGGAACGTTCCAGAATGCTGCACTGGCAACAGGCGGCCTGCATGTGCATGGCCCCTGCAGTCGGTCTAGCTGCCGGCCTTGCAGTGCTGAAAAGAATGTGCAGTACAGCATGTCACATAGTATCGCAGCCTGGACAAATAGGCGCTGGGAAGTCCTAGTTATGTGCTCACCTACACCACGATGCACCAATCTTCTGAGCTACTTTGGCAACAAATTTGTCCACTTGAGACTCCCATGGGCTGAGCCAGTTGTTGAGGGCTGCACCAAGGTGGACGGCAATGACCGCTGATGGCAAGGCAATCCATGACACACAGTCACTAGGGCATCGTCAACATGGCGCTGAGGCTGGATCGATAAAATCAACCTTTAGGCTGCCGCGGGGTTGACAACGAGGCCACTGTCTCGAAGCTAGTCAGTCAGCCTGGTCACCGCCATTGACGAACCAGTCGGTTGTGACAAGTGTGGTGCAATATTGTCAGCAAATTCAGTACTCAGGACTAGATGAGTGACAAAGGGAACGTTGTGTTTGATAATATTGAAGTGAACAGGGATGATCACAAACCCTGCGCGTACTCCACCGTGAGTTACAAGAAAATTCCGGACTGGACGACGAGCAAACACCAACCTGCTACATCGGTTGAACCAGGCAGATACTATTTACGATAGCTACCAAACCAGGTCAATGCCGACCTACTGCATAATGTCAATGTCAAACAGATCCTGCAGGAGAAGACTGGGGTGTTGGCGTCCAGTCACTGAGTGTACAGACACCAGTCACATTTCCTGAGTCTTTTGCAGCATACAGGATAGACTCATCACTGTAAAGTCCACTACTTCGTGATTTTGATTTGTAGAATACATGACAGGCGTATTCAGTGTGCCTCGCAGGACTGCGAGATGCTGCAGAAGACCAGGTTCGACCTTTCTGGACGGCCATTCACCGACGGTGGGCTACACGATGCTGGAGGAACTAGATTCCAGTGAAAACCCAAGATTCCTTTGCTCCTGGACGCTCCGACGTGTTGTGATATCTGCCAGGTGCGCAGTAACTAGTATTTTCATCGCTATAGCGAGGACGACGCCGATCGGCAAACTCTCGCTCACAGCCATCACCAGCCTCTCAAAACCATCACTTGGCATCCCCCAGAGGTATAGGAGAAAGCCAAAACAGTTCTCAACAAACAAAAGCTAAGGACGATGGAAAGAGAGCATGTCAAAAAGAAGACGAACAGTATGAAGTTCAAAATTAATGGTTTTGAACACTGGTACCACCAACTATACCACTTTCAATAAATCGTGACGCCGTTTTGTTTTAACATGAATATCGCGGACTTTCAGGCGGTGTTCAGATAAGGCAAATGTTCCGGATAAGAACACACTGTAAATACATGTACATTGTAAATAGAATAGAGTGGTACTTTTCAAAATTTTCGTATTTTTTGAATGGCTCACTACATGTACAGTCATGCACATGCACAGCGCGTACTCTACGGCACGTGCGCCCAAAAAACTGTTACGGATAATCGAATGATCGGATAGTCGATGTGCGGATAATCGATGTTCAACTGTACCACTTTCAATAAATCGTGACGCCATTTTGTTTTAACACGCATATCGCGGATTCTGCATTTTTGTCTCCAAGGAAATAATAAGTTCGCTTATCAAAGTGTATGTATCGGAGCATTACCATACCGTACGCAGTCAATCCTGAAATGCGTAGGGTATACAGTCATGTAGTTGTATACGGTACACATTCTGCAGATCCTGTAAGAATCCTTGATCTGCACCGTACAATCATGTACGCACCAGCTCAGATCACATCCAGTGATCCAGCGCTAGTAGTACTGGCCCTCAACAGTGACACGTCCCCAAAGAGTAGTACATGTAACATTATAAATAGAAGGACGTTTAACTCTGCATGATCTGATTAGGCCGTCATCACACCACGTTCTCCGACTCCCGTTTACGTCTACGTCTATGGTGAAAAAACCAAAACGGGTGGTCGTGTCATCAGACAGGCACAGTTCTTGACGCGTACACCTGGTACACGCAGTCAGGTTTTTGGAGAAATTTGAACCCACGTACATCGAAGTACATGTACAGGGTCGCTCGGAAAAAGGCTGGGGTAGATACGCACGTTCATACAAAAAGTCGTATACCCCCCCCCCCCCCCCCCCTCTCCATACCACGTCTACGTCTCCTGTTTCCTCTGCTCCCGTTTTCACCCCGTATACGGATCATCATGACAACCGACCAAAAACTCCTAACGTGGACGTAGACGCAGCGCTTTGTACCATGGTGTGATGACAGCCTAATGCCTGGTTCACACTAGGCCGATTTTCCGGCCGACATGGACTCGTACGAAAAATCCTCAAGATCGGGGCGAAAATTGCGTAGTGTGAACTGTGTTGTCGTACAGGGTTCCGACAAATCTGCGGCGATTTTCTTGTCGCACTAGTTTTCGGCCAAGTATCGACCGAAAAGCCGGCCGATTTTTACTGCTTGCACGTGATGGAGCGGTCATCGGACCAATCACGGTAGGCTTTTCACCATGACAGCAAAGAGCGTCGATGTCGAGCTCATGACCTCTTGTACTTTTGTACTCTTGAGTCTTGATGAGATGTAAAGTCCTACCAAAATTTCATAACCCCCATGAACTCTTGCTTTTATGGATAATCGATGCGACTCTATTGCGAGTGAGTCGTTTCCCGTGTGTGAACAGGCCGTCCGACTCAGTCGACACAGTCGGCAGACTCCATGTCGGAGTCGGTGTCGGAGCACCGGCCGGAAAATCGGCCTAGTGTGAACCAGGCTTAAGGCCCTTGGCGATCATTATTTTGGTCAAAGATACGGGCAGACTTGAAATGTCAGTTGGTGTGTGGGAATGTGGTTCCGGCGAGTTGTCTTTTCGGTGAGGTGTGTCCATCGTCATTCGAGGTAGTGGGTGGTCACTAACAGAAGAAATTCCAAAAAGAATCTAGGCAAGTGCAAAGGAAAGTCTTTTATGACTCTGTCGAACCCAAGCGACTTTCCTTGTAGAACTTAATATTTCCAATAAGCAGCCTGAGCATTTTTGCCAGTTGAGATGCTCGGAAAGAGTACTAGCACGCGCCTGCTTCAACCACGAGAATGAGTGGGATAGCTGGAACCGTGCATCAACGCCAAATTGATGCACTCACAGAAAAGCAGCTACATGTACAACAGTTTTGCTCAGCCTACGGTGACTATGAGCACACCAACACCATGTCACCAGGAGCGGCGCCCTGTGATCTGTGCTTAAAAATACGCAGCTGCACTGTGAAGATCGAACAGAGCGAGCAAGTGTGCCAACAACACACAAACACCAGCCAACAATAAACATAGCGCGCGGAGCACTATCAGATCTGTGAAACACACGCCGTCAGCGAACCCGACCGGAGTAGCAAAAGACAGATTGGGATAAGCACTGGTAGATCAGGTGTGTGATAAACGCATCAAACAAATGGCAGATGCGACCGATATGTCAAGACTGGCACTCAGCTGGTGATACAACGAGACAGATTAAATAAGAAATTCAAAATAATCCTTGGCCTACCTGTTGGCATGAGAAATCCAAAATACGGGACATGAAATTTGATTTTGATATGATAATAGGCCAGTCGCCACATATACACACAAGCAGGCGCGTGCACCACACACACACACACACACACACACACACACACACACACACACACACACACAGATAGAGAACGAGAATAATAAGCGTACTGTGTCTTGTTTTGCTTGAGTGAAAGCTCTCAGGTTTGGGTATGGAACGGTCGATGGAGTCGGTGCCGACACCTGATAGATCGGGTAGGGTTTGAAAACAATTGTTAAGGACGTAGATCTCACCAGCACAGGTCGTCGGAACCAATATACTTCTCAACCAACGACTGGTAGTATGAAGTTAGCGCTGTCTTGTCCGGGAGACTGTCAGACTTAGAATAGAGATCGAATTTGTTAAACTCACGCACCCACGGCAGCATATCGCGGTCATGATTGTTGCACAAGTAGTCGTAGTCATCGCCCGAGTGCCACGGGTAGAAGCTGTGGAAGCGAATCATGTACAGACCCTCGTCCGGGATTGTCGTACCGCTGTGCTTCAGGCACTGGTACAGATACTCGTCATGGCCCCAGGACATCGTCACCTTGTCCAGGCCACAGTTCTGCTCGTACACGCCCAGCTTTGTGCTATACACTTCATGCGTGCTGTCCGGGTTCTCGGCAAACGTCTCCGGGAAGACGCAGCGCTGCGAGAAGCGGCAGCCGACGGGAAACGTGTCACCGACTACGCACCACTGCGGCTCTCCCCACAGGGCCATCACCTTGCCGATGTCGTGGATCAAGCCAACCAGATGAAACCAGGGCTTGTCCGGGTGTGCCTCGCGGATCCTCTCCGCCGTCTGGAAGGCATGAACGGAGTTCGGCAAGTCGATATCGGGATCACTTTCGTCAACCAGGTTGTCCAGCTCACTGATAATACTCATGATGCTCATCTTGGCATGGTTGAAACTGCACCACTTCGCACGCATCTCCTTGCCAAATTCCATGGTCTGTTTGGTGTGCATCTCCGTGTACGTTCTGCGCACGTTGTGAGTCTGCACATTGTCCTCGTAGTTGCGAAAGTCGTCTTTCTGCTTGGCCCGTTGCTCAGCGTGGACCTCCTCTGGGCGGAACAGGGGAGAGGGATCGCAGATCACCCTCATCGTGGCTGCTGTTGCGAGCACGGGCCAACTGGACTGTGCACCGATGCCGGGAGAATGCTGCAATTCCTTGCTCACTCGTGCGTGTTTGTGCTCACAGCAGCGAGATAAGGAGATTGGAGAAGGTGGCAAGTAAGAGACCTTCTGACACTTCTCTCGCCTCGTGGATGACAAGTTTCAGAGACGACACTCAGAACACTACAAAACAGGACACCACGAAAGTAACGCGACAACCTCTGCAGCCGGGACTAATCTGACAATGCTGCCAGGCACCTCGCTGTTTTACTTCACCACCGACAAAACACTTGGCAAAACTGTACCAAACACTGCACGGCTTGCACAATGCACAGACTCAGACACAGAGAGAGAGAGTCGATCAAGCCAGCATATGGAAGCGTGAGCATGAGATCGCGATACCGTACAAAAAGCCGGGTGATTGTGATCAGGTGATGATGCATCATTGCATGATGCAGTACATTATGCATGTGCAGCGCATGCATGCATTGATCGATTCTTGCAAATGACGTAACCCACATTGTTTGCACAGGAACAGTTTTCAGAACTCCATGTGTTTGCTTGATTTCTCCCGCAGGCAAGTGCACATAACTAATACTGAATTACTTCATAAGTGGGCAGCTCAGGACTGACAGGAGACCTTGTTGGGCAAGGCGGTCGAGGCAATGGCAAAGATCGAACTCAACTATCACTGAGCTGGTGTCTCAAAGTCAAAGCCGAAGTCCCTCAAGACTTGCACGAAGCTGGCATGAATGCCATCAATAGTCAAATAGTTGTTTATTTGAAATCCGCTTGTCCAGCTAGCTGTCAATCGACTCGAGATAAAAGCTAGGCCAGTGGCGGTGCGCGTCCAGCTGTGAGCGCGAGCGTCGGTCGAGTGTTGTTTTTGCTCGAGACCAGCTACAATGTAGGTACCGGTACCATGTAGGCAGGAGATAAGCTGAGTCATCCTGATGGCAGCGGCCACTCAGACTCATAGCCTAGCCGTACATGACTTGTACGTATAATTATTACAACCCAGCAGTACGCTTGTACGTGAAAATATAAACCGACATACAAACCGAGGCGAAGCCGAGGTTTGTATGAATGGTTTTTCAAACATATCACTAGGGAGGTTCTGCTCTACGTTTTGGGAACGCGACGCAAAGAATCACGCGAACTTTCTTCGCGTTCCCGTAACGTAAAGAAATGCTGTTCTGCTCTACGTTTCACGTAGAGAAGTCACGTGGAATGTGTACTGGGAATTTCCCCTTCCATATTTGGCACTTTTCTGCATGCAGTTGATCGATACCCAGCAAATCCGTACGCATTTTCTCTGCGTGTGCCACAACGTAGAGAACCCCATCTCCGCGTAGAAATCTGGAGCCAAAACACGCGAAGCCGTAGACTCTAACCTAGACACCTGCTCTCTACGTGATTTCTCTACGTTTCACGTATAGCAGAACCTCCCTAGTACTATTGCGCGAAATCACGCGACACCTGTACATTTTCGATCTGCGGGATGAAGATGACGACGTCCATGCATCAGGTATCAGGGGGTAGTAAGATACTGGTATATTACTACTCCACGCCTCAAATCGTGCTGTCAAGCGTATGCGGGGGAGTGTAGCATGCCATCCCTTAAGGCCGATTCACAATACAACTTTCTGCGACGCGACACGCGATTTGCGACAGTTGCGACAAGAAACTGCCTGTCGCGAGCTGTCGCAAGCTGTCGCAAGCTGTCGCAATGCACCTGTCGCAGAAGTTGAAGAAAGTTCAACTTTTGCGACATGCGACACGCGACATACACAAATGGAGTACAGTTTCGACCCTGGGTGCACGTGCAGTGTACGTGCAGTGCACGTGCATAGTACTACTTGTGCATGCATGAGGATGTCGCAAACATGAAGAATATTGTGAACCGTGTGTCGCTGTCGCAGATCGTCGCATGCGTCGCAAGTCGCATGTCGCGTCGCAGAAAGTTGTATTGACGCGATTTGCGACAGTTGCGACAAGAAACTGCCTGTCGCGAGCTGTCGCAAGCTGTCGCAAGCTGTCGCAATGCACCTGTCGCAGAAGTTGAAGAAAGTTCAACTTTTGCGACATGCGACACGCGACATACACAAATGGAGTACAGTTTCGACCCTGGGTGCACGTGCAGTGTACGTGAAGTGCACGTGCATAGTACTACTTGTGCATGAGGATGTCGCAAACATGAAGAATATTGTGAACCGTGTGTCGCTGTCGCAGCTCGTCGCATGCGTCGCAAGTCGCATGTCGCGTCGCAGAAAGTTGTATTGTGAATCGGCCTTACACTTTCCAGCTCAGGGTTACCCTCGCTACCAATGGACGAAATTTCAGGGTCACAGCTTGCGCAACGGCTTTGTCCTGTGCGAATGGCCACTCGACATACTCAGCACAAATTTTCTATTGCATGCATGCACAAAATGTTCAACTTTCGTATTTTTGGCGACTTTACCACCGTCGTGGAGGCTGGTTGGTGAGGAGCAGGTAGCCATCCCTTGTGGAATCAAACACATGGTTCCACAGTGTGGCTGATTCCGCAAGAGCCAGGTCCATACGAGGAACATTCGCTTTGTCTTTTGCCATCGAAGTAAGTCACTTTTCTTGTTCTCAGTGTTTTTTACGTTCAACGTTTCTGAGATTTTTGAATTATTCACTTTTCATTCTTTCATACTTTATTTCTTCATGTTCACTGCCTCACTTGCCTTCTGATCTGGAGAATGTGACGGAGGTGACTGTTGGTTACTGCCTGGTATAACGGTTGTTGTGCTGTTGCTGTATTTCCGTCCTGCTCGCGACGTTGTAGATCACAAACAATTTTAAATCACATGAATTGTACTTACCGTCGTGCGTGCGGTATTAGGAAACACTGTGCAGATTAGATCGTCGCAATGTATCTATATGTGTGTCTGGTCATCCTGTGCCACGCAAGAACTCCAACCAGACGCATTCGTCCTCGGCCCTGTTGATCGATTGTCCACTTGTCTTTCGAATTTCCTTGAAGAACGATCGATCAAAAAATCGAGCTCGCGGACTTTTTGCAAAAAAACGGCTGAAAAAAGGAAGAAAAAAGGGTGCTCAGAATGAGATTCGAGTACACAACCATGGTCCCAGCAGTTTATGTGGATGTCGCTCATACTCATACGAGTCATAGTCATAGATACGCGATTTCGCGCAATGCGGCGGCGGCGGCGGCGGCGGCAGTGACGTGCTTGTTGCCATCCGACGGCCAATCAACATCGACTTGTACCAGGGCAGAAATTGTGTGTATTGCCTGGGCTAAGGCTTGGCAATGCCCTGCTAGCATGCTACGGAGTACGGTCTACCTATGACTATGTCTATGACATCCAATGCCCTGCATGCATGCTATGCAAATGCCAGGCTTATTATTATTTGAAACTCGGGTATTGAGCCAATAATAAAAGTAGAAAGGAAAAGGACATAATGGAAACGAGTTAAGAGTAACTCTCCACCACTGTAACTAGATACTATATACAGTCAGAAAGTGCAACAACTAGGCACAAAACTGACAAAGTACTGAGACATTCGACGTCCTGACACCTAGCTTCAACACATCTCCGTAGCGCTAACCGACAGCCTTCCAACTTGGAAGGTTCAAGGTTATGCCCTGAAATAAAATAGGAGAATTGAAAAATTTATAACATCCCTATGCTTTTTTTGTCCAGGTCATCAAGGCAAAAAAGCATAGCGTGGGGCCCTGAGCTTCCAAGCTCTCTCGTTTGGTATTTGTTTGTGTGTTTGTTTGTTTGTGTCACGCCTGGCGCTATCCCGTATCTGACGGCAAAAAATCATAGGGATGTTATAAATTTTTCAATTCTCCTATTTTTTCAGGCATATCCTGGGATTCGAACCCGCACTATCGCCCTACATGCATTCCCCAATACACTTCGCATTCATACCCATTCTTCCAAGTTGCTTTACGTTATTATCTTGCGTTTGAAAGCCCTATTTGAATATTGCGGGCAGCTGTATGTGAACTGAGTTCCAGCGGTCTGCGGCTAAATAAGAAAGAGAGGAATACAGTGGTCCCTCTTTAATCCGGCACCATTTGTGCCACGAAAATCTGCTGGATAAGGGAGGGTGCTGGATTAACAAATCTGATTTACTGCTGCAATGTGCATGAAGAGGACATTTTGGCTACTGAAAATTGTGCTGGTTTATCGAGGGTGCTGGATTATAAAGTGCCGGATTAGAGAGGGACGACTGTACTTCCTCCGTATACAAAAACTTCGTGACTTTTTTTGAACGGTGTTTTTGAGCAAGAACCTGCTCGACGAACGGCGCCAAAGGCTGTCATCGACAACCCACGTCCATGTCGAGGTTAGTTTGGTTGATCCCGAACAGATTCTCCACGGACGCCATGCGTGTGAGGACGTTGCCGACGGAAACTCAAGAGTCAAATGAAAATAACTAACACTTACTTGCTCGAAACTGACACAGTGACGAAGTGTAGCTCGTGGTTAGAACACGGAGTCACGCAGCACTCGCTGCCCTGAAACTGGCCACGCTCGTACTTGCGGTGCGCGGCCCCATAGATATACGCAGCGTGAGAACATAGATTTGTTTCGCTCGCACGGCAAGATGAAACATTTCAGTCGTCGTGCAACCAGCGCAGACTCAGGATTAGAATGTCGATGGCCTGGCGTTCTTCGCCTCTCTCCAGTCAGACGTCTCCTTTGTCGCCAAGGGGAATCGCAGGGACCTCCTCGAAGCCATTGTAGAATGCTTGGGAGGATTATCCTGGCGAGAAAATGCGAAGCGGTTGGATGTGCTTGTACGACTCGTTTCACGGCAGAATGGAGGTCGCGGGTTGGAACAACTGAATATAGTCGATACAGATTCGTACACAGCTCTAGAGATGAAGAGGACGTAGCCAAAAGTCCAGAGTCGGATCATCACTGCAGGTGACAAGAATCTGAACGAAATGCGAGCGGAAGCAGCGACTGTTGGCGATGCGGAGTCAGCGTCGTCAGGTGACAATGACATGAGCGACGAAGACTCTGAAAAAACTCAATTTCATTCGTCTGAGTTGCTTTTGTCTTTGTATATAGCTTGTAAACAGGTTAGACAATGCCACGAGTGTTATTCGAAGTCAAACGGAACCATTTCAGAGCTGTGCGCAGCTTTCAAAAAAAGTCACGAAGTTTTTGTATACGGAGGAAGTAACCAAATCGAGAGGAGGCTCGTGGCAGTACAAGTCCAAGCGAGACTTGAGACCTTGTGCAGGTGTGGCTACGTGCCTCAGAATTGGCACGAAGGCAGAAAAGGCGGCACAGAAGTGAGCTGGCAGAATAATGAACGCATCTGAATACAAGAAGATACAGTTTTTAAAAGGGAGAAACGGATAGTGATGGGTGTGAGGTTGTTTCGAGACAGAATACACTGGACATCTGCGGTGGGTGGGTAGCCAAATGCAGTGCGCAATGAACGGCGAGAGATGCGGGTGGGAGAATCATAATTCATTATTCATGTTGTCGCAGACTGTGTATACATAAGCATTGTCAGCCTACATGTAGCTCGGAAGGGTCTGTGGCACTGGCAGTTTTTCGTTGTCAGCTCGGTTCGCATGTCACATTCGACTGTGAACTGATGTTACTTGCTCTGTTACGCTCTCGGGCAAGCCCTCGAGCGTAGAGTCTACGGAGCTGAAACTCACAAGCTGAGTAACCGTTAGTTTCATCTCGAGCAAGGTGAAATTTCAGCTCCGTACGCCCGGGCCTCGGGCAAGGCCTCGAGCGTACGGAGCTGAAACTCACAAGCTGAGTACGTAACCGTTAGTTTCATCTCGAGCAAGGTGAAGTTTCAGCTCCGTACGCTCGAGGGCAAGCCCTCGAGCGTACGGAGCTGAAACTAACCGTTAGTTTCATCTCGAGCAGCTTGTGAGTTTCAGCTCCGTACGCTCGAGGGCTTGCCCGAGAGCGTACGGAGCTGAAATTTCACCTTGCTCGAGATGAAACTAACGGTTACTCAGCTTGTGAGTTTCAGCTCCGTACGCTCGAGGCCTTGCCCGAGAGCGTAAGGAGCTGAAATTTCACCTTGCTCGAGATGAAACTAACGGTTACTCAGCTTGTAAGTTTCAGCTCCGTACGCTCGAGGCCCTGCCCGAGAGCGTACAGAGCTGAAACTTCATCTTGCTCGAGATGAAACTAACGGTTACTCAGCTTGTGAGTTTCAGCTCCGTAGACACTACGCTCGAGGGCTTGCCCGAGAGCATAACATCCTCCACAAACACGCACGGGTGAGCAAGGAATTGCAGCATTCTCCCGGCATCGGTGCACAGTCCAGTTGGCCCGTGCTCGCAACAGCAGCCACGATGAGGGTGATCTGCGATCCCTCTCCCCTGTTCCGCCCAGAGGAGGTCCACGCTGAGCAACGGGCCAAGCAGAAAGACGACTTTCGCAACTACGAGGACAATGTGCAGACTCACAACGTGAGCAGAACGTACACGGAGATGCACACCAAACAGACCATGGAATTTGGCAAGGAGATGCGTGCGAAGTGGTGCAGTTTCAACCATGCCAAGATGAGCATCACGAGTATTATCAGTGAGCTGGACAACCTGGTTGACGAAAGTGATCCCGATATCGACTTGCCGAACTCCGTTCATGCCTTCCAGACGGCGGAGAGGATCCGCGAGGCACATCCGGACAAGCCCTGGTTTCATCTGGTTGGCTTGATCCACGACATCGGCAAGGTGATGGCCCTGTGGAGAGAGCCGCAGTGGTACGTAGTCGGTGACACGTTTCCGGTTGGCTGCCGCTTCTCGCAGCGCTGCGTCTTCCCGGAGACGTTTGCCGAGAACCCGGGCAGCACGCATGAAGTGTATAGTACAAAGCTGGGCGTGTACGAGCAGAACTGTGGCCTGGACAAGGTGACGATGTCCTGGGGCCATGACGAGTATCTGTACCAGTGCCTGAAGCACAGTGGTACGACAATCCCGGACGAGGGTCTGTACATGATTCGCTTCCACAGCTTCTACCCGTGGCACTCGGGCGATGACTACGACTACTTGTGCAACGATTATGACCGCGATATGCTGCCATGGGTGCGCGAGTTCAACAAATTCGATCTCTACTCTAAGTCTGACAGTCTCCCGGACAAGACAGCGCTAACTTCATACTACCAGTCGTTGGTTGAGAAGTATATTGGTTCTGACGACCTGTGCTAGTGAGATCTACGATTTTCTCAATCGAGCGATGACGACTTCTTCTTATGCAACGATCATGACCACGATATGCTGGCGTGGGTGCGTGAGTTCAACAAATTGGATCTCTACTCTAAGTCTGACAGTCACCCGGACAAGACAGCGCTAACTTCATACTACCAGTCGTTGGTTGAGAAGTATATTGGTACTGACGACCTGTGCTGGTGAGATCTACGATTTTCTCAATCGAGCGATGACGACTTCTTCTTATGCAACGATCATGACCACGATATGCTGTCGTGGTTGCGCGAGTTCAACAAATTCGATCTCTACTCTAAGTCTGACAGTCTCCCGGACAAGACAGCGCTAACTTCATACTACCAGTCGTTGGTTGAGAAGTATATTGGTTCTGACGACCTGTGCTGGTGAGATCTACGATTTTCTCAATCGAGCGATGACGACTTCTTCTGTTGCAACGATCATGACCACGATATGCTGCCGTGGGTGCGCGAGTTCAACAAATTCGATCTCTACTCTAAGTCTGACAGTCTCCCGGACAAGACAGCGCTAACTTCATACTACCAGTCGTTGGTTGAGAAGTATATTGGTTCTGACGACCTGTGCTAGTGAGATCTACGATTTTCTCAATCGAGCGATGACGACTTCTTCTTATGCAACGATCATGACCACGATATGCTGGCGTGGGTGCGTGAGTTCAACAAATTGGATCTCTACTCTAAGTCTGACAGTCACCCGGACAAGACAGCGCTAACTTCATACTACCAGTCGTTGGTTGAGAAGTATATTGGTACTGACGACCTGTGCTGGTGAGATCTACGATTTTCTCAATCGAGCGATGACGACTTCTTCTTATGCAACGATCATGACCACGATATGCTGTCGTGGGTGCGCGAGTTCAACAAATTCGATCTCTACTCTAAGTCTGACAGTCTCCCGGACAAGACAGCGCTAACTTCATACTACCAGTCGTTGGTTGAGAAGTATATTGGTTCTGACGACCTGTGCTGGTGAGATCTACGATTTTCTCAATCGAGCGATGACGACTTCTTCTGTTGCAACGATCATGACCACGATATGCTGCCGTGGGTGCGCGAGTTCAACAAATTCGATCTCTACTCTAAGTCTGACAGTCTCCCGGACAAGACAGCGCTAACTTCATACTACCAGTCGTTGGTTGAGAAGTATATTATTGGTTCTGACGACCTGTGCTAGTGAGATCTACGATTTTCTCAATCGAGCGATGACGACGTCTTCTTATGCAACGATCATGACCACGATATGCTGCCGTGGGTGCGCGAGTTCAACAAATTTGATCTCTACTCTAAGTCTGACAGTCTCCTGGACAAGACAGCGCTAACTTCATACTACCAGTCGTTGGTTGAGAAATACATTGGTTCCGACGACCTGTGCTGGTGAGATGTACGATTTTCTCACATGAGATAAGAACAACTCGCTGACTAACTTCCGTGGCTGATCGCGTAATTGCCTGCCGTTGTACACAGTCCTGAACAGTTGTTTTCAAACCCTACCCGATCTATCAGGTGTCCGCACCGACTCCATCGACCGTTCCATACCCAAACCTGAGAGCTTTCACTCAAGCAAAACAAGACACAGTACGCTTATTATTCTCGTTCTCTATCTGTGTGTGTACATGTATGTGTGTGCGTGTGTGTGCATGCGCACGTGTGTGTGTATGTGTGTGTGTGTGGTGCACGCGCCTGCTTGTGTGTATATGTGGCGACTGGCCTATTATCATATCAAAATCAAATTTCATGTCCCGTATTTTGGATTTCTCATGCCAACAGGTAGGCCAAGGATTATTTTGAATTTCTTATTTAATCTGTCTCGTTGTATCACCAGCTGAGTGCCAGTCTTGACATATCGGTCGCATCTGCTACCATTTTGTTTGATGCGTTTATCACACACCTGATCTACCAGTGCTTATCCCAATCTGTCTTTTGCTACTCCGGTCGGGTTCGCTGACGGCGTGTGTTTCACAGATCTGATAGTGCTCCGCGCGCTATGTTTATTGTTGGCCGGTGTTTGTGTGTTGTTGGCACACTTGCTCGCTCTGTTCGATCTTCACAGTGCAGAAGTCGTCATCGCTCGATTGAGAAATCGTAGATCTCACTAGCACAGGTCGTCGGAACCAATATACTTCTCAACCACAGCATATCGTGGTCATGATCGTTGCATAAGAAGAAGTCGTCATCGCTCGATTGAGAAAATCGCAGATCTCACTAGCACAGGTCGTCGGAAAGTTGTCACGTTTGTACTAGTCTCCGTACCATTGTCTTTCCTTATTCTTTTCGAGCTGGTTATGTGAACGTAGTAAAAAAAAAAAAAAAAAAAACCAACGACTGGTAGTATGAAGTTAGCAGTAGTATAGTGCGGTATACCGGTAGGGGTTCTGACTCAAAAGTCACCTTTGACCCCTGGCTTCCTAATAAGGAAGAATAGTCCATATATGGCAGATGACCTTGCGCTGTCTTGTCCGGGAGACTGTCAGACTTGTAGAGATCGAATTATTTGTTGAACTCGCGCACCCACGGCAGCATATCGTGGTCATGATAGTTGCATAAGAAGAAGTCGTCATCGCTCGATTGAGAAAATCGTAGATCTCACTAGCACAGGTCGTCGGAACCAATATACTTCTCAACCAACGACTGGAAGTATGAAGTTAGCGCTGTCTTGTCCGGGAGTCTGTCAGACTTAGAGTAGAGATCGAATTTGTTGAACTCGCGCACCCACGGCAGCATATCGTGGTCATGATCGTTGCATAAGAAGAAGTCGTCATCGCTCGATTGAGAAAATCGCAGATCTCACTAGCACAGGTCGTCGGAACCAATATACTTCTCAACCAACAACTGGTAGTATGAAGTTAGCGCTGTCTTGTCCGGGAGACTGTCAGACTTAGAGTAGAGATCGAATTTGTTGAACTCGCGCACCCACGGCAGCATATCGTGGTCATGATCGTTGCACAAGAAGAAGTCGTCATCGCTCGATTGAGAAAATCGTAGATCTCACTAGCACAGGTCGTCGGAACCAGTACACTTGTCAACCAACGACTGGTAGTATGAAGTTAGCGCTGTCTTTTCCGGGAGTCTGTCAGACTTAGAGTAGAGATCGAATTTGTTGAACTCGCTCACCCACGGCAGCATATCGTGGTCATGATCGTTGCATAAGTAGAAGTCGTCTTCGCTCGATTGCCACGGCAGTGTCTGCTCCAGCGCCGGGTGAGCCGGGTAATCCACCCGGTTGGGGAGGTATATTATGTATCAGATTGCAACGACCAGGAGGCTCTTAGTAGTGGCTGCAAATGACCGATATCCGTCACTTGCAGCTCTGCATCAGAGACCTGTAGCTGGCCTGAAGAGTTGTAAAATTACTCCTTCGTAGCCGGGGGAGTCAGAGCGAGGGCGATTCACGGCTTGGTCAAAAAACTGTCGGCCTGGAACGTAAACGTGGATCTGCCGACACAGGTCACCTGGTTCACACGCCTGACCTGGCATGCTGCCTTGCGTGAAAGGAACATTTTCCGAAAGCAAGCTTCTTCTCCAAAATTCGAAATTTCTTTCCAAAAATGCCGTCGTCCTTGACCTCGAATATATATGTATTTCATTGTCCCTGCCTGAAGTAATAATGACTACATGACATGATATCCAGCTAACTTTGCCAGTAACGAACGACCCTTGATCGGGCATGAGAAAAGTGTTGGTATTTGGGAGTTGTCGTCATTCACGGAGTTGAAAATATACGGCTATATTGTTACTAGGTCTGAAGATAGTGTCACTATCCGTGGGTTGTTATACCCGTGGTTGACTGCAGATACGTTTGGATTATTCTATGAGTATATGAAGGGTATACGTTAAATATTTTCCTGAGGACATAGCACGAGGAAATTATGGGGAATGCAGTACATGTATAGAATGGTGCAATCCATTTCTCCCAGGGCACTTTCCCAACACTCCTTCCAATATTCACTCTTGGCGCGACCCTTGTGAACTGAGCGGGGTGTATCGTTGAATATACCCCTCTCAGAACGTCTACTGATTGGCTGAAATCGCCCAATTCATACCGTTCCATGGATGTCAGGGAGTCGTAGCACCCAAGGAAACAACACGAGATCATGATACCCAAAATGATATACTGTAAAAGCAGAAATTTTCAGTGGTGTTTTATTTTCGGTAACTTCGGTGCCGACAATTTTTACCGAAAAAATGCACCGAACTTTTTCGGTACTACTTAGTGGTACTAGCACCCTTACCTGGAAAGCGGGTATTACCGAAAATTTCCCTCCACCGAATCGCCGATTTTGGAGAATTCCGAAAATATTACACCACCGAAAATTTCTGCTTTTACAGTACACAGATTGGATCCATGGAGATTCTACATGATCTGTGGTTTATGCAACTCGTGATTGCGGACTTGACTCACTGGCTCCAAGCATGGGTCAGTCAAGCGATGCTACATGTATATGCGAGCATGTATGTATCGCACTTGCCCCTAAGGCAGTTAGGGCAACTGTCACTGGCAGCCCAGGGTTGAACCCACATTATTAATTTTTGAAATTTTCTAGGGTGACACGAAAAGCTTCATGAACTGGGTGGTCACTCTCTATTCATGTATACCACTCTGCCAATAGTGCATAGAGCTCTCTTTTGAGCTGCCCAGCTGGCCCTCGTTATGATTTAGGCTGAAAGTCTACCGTGCCGTCTCCCTTATGCTATGACTCCATAATGCATATGTACAGAAGAAAAAATCCCGGGACTCCGTTGATGAAATTCTGTTTTGTCAAGTGGGCATTTTTGATTATTGTGAATGGCGTGTAGTGCCATAGTACAGTTCCTTTTGCTACATAACGTTTGCACAAGTCACCTTTCAGCAATTGAACTAGGAAGATCTATGTCTCTGATCTTGTCATTTGGCCCGGCTGGTGCTGTGCACTAACAACCATTGTCAGGCACCCTCGAAAGACCAACAGCAATGAGTTCATGACCCAAGCATTATTTGGGCCGTTAAGTTGACTAAACGGGAGTGTAGCAAGCTTTGATCGGCGTGCTTGTGAAATGTTGTCCGAGCTGAATAGAGTCTATCTCCTGCGGTTTAGTACAACAGTTTCACACCTAATACTGTAGATTCGACGTCTCCAAGAAAAACCTCCATGGAGACTGGAAACTATAGCAGATCATAAATGATGCAGCAGCTCAGCTGATTCCTCAGCTCGTGTCTAGGTTCATGTACTTTGGTAAACGTGTTGTGGCAGACTCCATGTGCAAAGCTGCATACTCTTGTGGTTATTGATTCTTGCTGATAATTCCATTAACGTTATTGCATAGATATGAACATCATAATAATTGAATGTTGGTAAGACCCAACAAGGTGTCCCTAATGACTTACATCAGATCTTCACAAAATGCACATACTGTAAGACATGATTTTATAATATACAATCATGTCTTACAGTATATATTATATAACGAGGAAGCAAATCTAACGTTTTAACGGATGATATTTCTTCGTTATAATAGATCCGTTGAGGCCATATATGCTGTGTGTGGATATGGCAGAATACTGCACGATTGTTAACATATCTTCTCGTTAACCTATGAATTTTGGACAATCGTTAAATTTGCGACTCGTTATAACAGCATGTCTTACAGTACATCTTGAAAAGCCATATTTTGGTTTCACATACACGTCTCATTTCTATCACAGAGATCAGTAGCCATGGGCCATTGGTGGCAATACTGGTAGGAGTCGCCCGAGGCTTAGCCAATAATTTCCGTTCTATACCCAATATACAGTGGTGGTCAAAAGTTTTGACCCACCATGCAGATTTTTCGAATTCTGAAGATTTGGGCTGTAAGCTACTAAATTTTTGGTCGAGGACCTGTGAATCAGGCTGAATAGTGAAGTAGAAATGAAAAATGCTGAAAGACGGAGTCATCTGGGGACTACTGTGGTCAAGTATATGTAAAAGGCGGGTCAAAACTTATGGCCAACGCCCGCACTATCATAAACCGCCAACAGGATACACGGAATAGTGTGATTTCTAAAAAGCATTCAACTAAACTAAAGTCTAGAAGTCAGTCCTGGCCTATTTCAGATACATCCACCACTTTGTAACCCCTCCCTTGGCCTTGATGATCTCTTGCATACACTGCCGCATTGAATCGACGATCTTTTTGCGCTCGTGAGGAGAAATCAACTTCTATGCCTCCCGGCACACTCGCCACAGCTCATACTGGTTTCTGGGGGTGATTTCAACATCGTGCTGCTTCAGCCCAGCAATTTTGCAGAGATTCTCAGTTGGATTGAGGTCAGGTGGCTGCAGGGGCCATGTCAGGACGGTGATGCCGTTCACCGTCCGCCGCGCCTCCGTTCTGTTTGCGGAGCGTTTGCGGCCATAAGACACCACCCACACCACCCACAAGCTCCATCATGCTCAGCAACATCATGTTTTCGGAGGATGCGAGGTACTGGTCCGCATTCATCGTATCCATCACCCGGCAAATGCGCGCTACGCCGTTGCTGGCCATGGCTCCCATACATTGATATTGCCGTCGCGGCGCTTCACAGTTTTGCGGGTGCATGTGCCAGCCAGAGCCTATCCTGTCCACCTCCTGACGTAAACTGCATCACCAGAGCCCTTGAGGTTGATTTTAGACTCATCAGTCCACAGAAATTACCACCAGTCATCACTGCTCCAGTCCTTGTGCGTCTATACAAATTTAAGGCGTTTTGCCTTATTCACAGCACTGATGAAGGGCCATTTGATGGCCATACAGCCACGTAGGCCTGCTCTCTGCAACTTGCGTCTCACAGAACGCACAGAAATCGCGTTATCACCGTCGCTCACCATCTCAGCTCGCAGGCAGTGACGGATTTGAGGTGATTCTCCATTGACTTCATGATATGGTGGCGATCTTGTCTTGCACTGGTCTCTCTTGGTCGGTCTGATCGAGGTGAAATGTAGTCAATTTTTGTTTCCTGACAATTCTACGTATCGTAGGATTACTCAAATCCAACAGAGGAGCGATACCACGCCAAAAGAGACCGTCAACACTCAGCTTCACGACCATTTCCCTCACATCCTTGCTAATCTGACCTCGGTTCACTATCCTGCCTGAAAATACCATCTCCGTCGTCAAAATAATCAAGTTTGATATCGCAAACTCTCAAAGTGAGAAGTCAAGTGTTGATTTTCAACTTTCCCGGCACGTGCATCAGCCTGACAACTTTTTTGAAACCGTACGGTACGGTAGAGCAAAATTTGGTCACGTGGCCATAAGTTTTGACCCACCCAAATGTATGGTGATCCATCACAAATCTCAGTTGACAACGGATTCTTGCAAATTTTAGTGTCCTTGCCAAGTTTCAATCGGCTTTGGCCTCAAAGAAGTCAAAAACGGCGTGTTTAGGAGCCAGGCTGAGCTGTACTGACGATTCCATGGGGTGGGTCAAAACTTTTGGCCACCACTGTACATACCCGAACTGGGCACAAATCTATCCCATTCCTTGGTGCTGACCCCTTTGATGCGCCCCCGAATCCCTTAGCATTATTAGTACCTCCAATTCATTTCATCATCAGCTCACCGCATGCTCAGTACTGTGTTGTAAAGTATGCAAATTTTCGACGCTTTAAATTACAGCCTCCCCAGGGCAAAAACACATCTCGGCCACATTGAAATTTCAGCCTGTACTGCTGATGCCTGTATACACTGTCACATTGAACCTTGCGAAACAAATTTTAGGCTACAAATGCCCAGTACATAAAAGGGGAGAAGGCACTGAACGAAGTGTCAACCTACGAATACAACCTCAGTGCAACAACATGCTCTTTCTCTTTCTGCTTGTGTAAGCAGAAAGAGCACGTTGTTGCACTGAGGTTGTATTCGTAGGTTGACAGTTCGTTCAGTGCCTTCTCACCTTTGGTTACGTAATCTTGTTACCTTTTGCGTTTCCTCTAGTAAATAAATGACAACCGCTCTATTCAGTTGCTATTCACTCCTGGCGCATGCGCTGGACGCAAAATTCTTTTATTAGTGATGTCGAAAAAGTATGCGGTTGTCAGTTGACAAACCTCCTTTTATTTACAATTCAGTTGCGTGATGTCCACCACTTTCCGAATTAAAAATGCACAGGCCGATATTAGCCGAAAATAAAATATGCGCCGAATATGCAGTACCTTGCGCACTCTGTTAGAAGACATTAGGGCTAGTGGGAATGAATGCTCAAGTAAAATGATGAAGTACAGTAATACAATACTATAGGGAGTTCATTTGGCATGAATGCACCAAGCCAACTCTCCTATACAAACAGTATAGTGTTGCTGCCAAAAATATGATTAGCCAAAGTTGCCTTTTTGCATTATTATGGTTGAACTTTTTTCCTGTAGCTTCGTTCCCATGCTGTGGATTTAATCACGAAATTTGTTAGCAAGACGAAGAGGTTTTATGTGAGCTTACTATTATTCTACCTGCACTTGCTTTTATCTTTTTTGTGCAGGACTCTGAGAAGCTGGAGGGACCCCACAAACCTCAAGCATTGAGGATACAACTTTTAACCAAGAACCAGGCAACATGATGTGCATGTATCACGTTCGCTGTGATTGCAGGCAACATGATGTGCATGTATCACGTTCGCTGTGATTGCATCGCGCAAGGTTGACGGGCCCGTCTTCCCCCCAGATGAAACAGATGAAACAAGATGAAACGAGATGAAACGAGATGAAACAAGATGAAACAAGATGAAACGCCAATGTACGGGCGCAGATGGGGCCGAGATGAAACGAAATGAAACAAAATGAAACAAGATGAAACAAGATGAAACAAGATGAAACAAGATGAAACAAGATGAAACCAAATGAAACTCGAAGTACGGGCGTAGATGGGCCGCGAATGAAACAAGATGAAACAAGATGAAACAAGATGAAACAATGTACGGGCGGAGATGGGCCGCGCGCAGTGCACCCGGCGTGACGTGCACGAGCGAAAAGAACTGAATTAATCCAATCATTGAAATAATTTTGTTTGCAGAGGCAATTCGCGCAAGGGAGATAGGAATTATTTGATGGCTTGCGAGTGATAGCACGAGCCGAATTTATTGCCCGTGGAAGTACCCACGATAGGAATACACTGTTGGGAACATGGTGGCGCCGCTGACGGTACCTATGTAAGTGGAATTACTTTATTGGAAGTACCCACGACGGGGAAAATAGTCTCTCTAGTATTGTCGGTGAATGGTGATGGTGGTGGTGGCGATGGCTACTTTCCTCTGCTCAGAGAGAACCCCTGCATGTCCTTCGTCGTGATGCGAAAGAGCAGTGGATGCAGGTAAAGGCCGTGTCAGAGAATTTCGCCTAGTGCTGTGGCCAGGGTGAAAATAAATTAGGGCTGAAACGATCTTTCAATAACTCCAAGCGATCAACCAATCTCGTTAGCGATGAATATCATTGTAACATAGAAAAATGTGGGCACAAGTTATGCAATCGAGTCCACCAACTAAACCAGATTTCGAATAGTCAGACGTGCACAATCTAGCACAAAACTGACAAGGAGTATGAGTACTGTTATGTTTGTATGTGCGCGTAAGCACGCTAGGCTCTGCGCATGTTTGCTTGCACGCTATGCTCTGCGCATGCGCACTCCAGTTCAGACTTCCTGTGTCTGAGTTTGTTCTTCTTTTCTATCTTGTTACTTTGCACGTCCATTATTCTCTTTGTAAATAATCCTAATACATTCCACAACTGTGTGTTCTTGTGAGTGGGAATGTAACATTGGCGACGAAGATGGGATGTCAGCTGGGAAGCCAACATCGAACATGCTAATCACCACAGTGCAGATCAACGGTACTCCATTGGATTTGGAGGTGGACACCGGATCCATGTACACTTTGGTGCCGCAAGACGTATGGGAGCAACATTGGACACATGTTGCCTTGCGTGAATGTTCTGTGCGACTGAAGACCTACAATGGTTCAGTCCTGCCGATTGTTGGCGAAGCAGATGTTGATGTACGCTACAGCGCGCAGAATGTTCGTGCGCGGGTCATCGTAGTACGTGAAGGCAGCCATCCGCTGCTGGGACGCGACTGGCTATCACAGTTGAGACTTGACTGGCAGAGTATGTTCAACCGGGTGAACGCCACTGCAGCGAGTGAGCCAGCAGCAGAGGATGCGTACCCTGAAGTATTTCGTGATGGTCTGGGCAAAGTGAGTGATCGTGAAGCTGAGATCTACCTGAACGACGGTGCCACTCCCAAGTGCTGCAACCCCAGACCCGTGCCATTTGCTTTGCGTCCTGCTGTCAATAAGGAACTTGACAGGCTGGAGCAAGAAGGCATTATCAAGCCCGTCAAGTCAGCAGAGTGGGCCTCACCTATTGTGATTGTCAGGAAGCAGAATCGGGACATTCGCATGTGCGCGGACTTCAAGGTCACGATCAACCCGCACATCAACTCCAAGCTTCACCCGATTCCAAATCCGAACGACCTGTTGTCGCAGATAGCTGGAGGATCAGTGTTTACGAAGCTGGATCTTAGCCAAGCTTATGCGCAACTACCGCTGTCGGAACGCAGTCAGAAGTATTGCGTCATCACAACACATCGAGGTCTCTACGCATTCCAGCGCCTTCCGTTTGGCGTGTCCAGTGCCCCAGCAATTTGGCAGAAGACAATGGATGAGATTCTGCACGACATTCCTGGTGTCGTCTGCTTCTATGATGATATTCTCATCACTGGGTGCGATGTCGAAGAGCACGACCGGCGACTCAAGTTGGTGCTAGCGCGGCTAGCAGAGCGTGGTGTGCGTCTTCGCAAGCAGAAGTGTGCTATCCGTGTGGATCGTGTACGCTACTTGGGCTACAGCATCAGCCGGAACGGTCTCGAGCCCAATCAGGACAAGGTCGAGGCTATCCTGAAGGCGTCAGCACCGAAGAATGTTCAAGCGTTGCAGTCATTCCTAGGCTGTGTCAACTTCTACAACCGCTTTCTACCCGACATGTCCAGTGTTCTGAAGCCGCTCAACAACTTGCTCCGCAAAGGTGTTCCGTGGAACTGGACAGATGAGTGTGAGAAGGTGTTCGCTCAGGTAAAGCGTATGCTCACCAGTGCCCCAGTGCTAGCTCATTTTGATGTGAATGAGAAAGTGGTCGTTGAGTGCGATGCTTCGCCTTACGGCATTGGCGCGTGTCTCATGCATGAGTATGCTGATGGCAGCCGTAGGCCTGTATGCTATGTTTCCCGTTCGCTTGCTAAGGCAGAGGCTCACTATTCGCAGATAGAGCGTGAAGCTTTAGCCATTGTGTTTGCAGTTAAGCGTTTACACATTTATTTGTTTGGTCGCTCTTTTGTTCTATGCTCTGATCATAAGCCATTGCTGCACATTTTTGGTGAGAAGTATGGTTTATCTGCCACTGCTGTTTCCCGTTTACAGCGTTGGGCTGTCATTCTTAGCGAGTATGATTATGTGTTTGAGCACATTTCTGGTAGTAGCAATGCTGTCGCAGATTGCTTGTCACGCCTGCCTATGGAGCTGACAGCCGCACAAGAGAGTGCAATTGTCAGTGCTGTCAACGAGCATGCCCATGATCCTACTGAGGATTTGCCAATTGATGCTAGTGATGTTGCAGATGCTAGCAAGCAGGACAGTGAGATTGCTCCAGTACTGCAGTACCTACAGTTCGGATGGCCAGCTGAGATCAGCGAGGCTACGCGACCATACTACAAGATTCGTCATGAGCTGACCATAGAGTCGGGCTGTGTAGTTCGTGGTGGCCGTACCGTTATCCCAGTAGTGTTTCGCCGTTTGCTGCTAAATGAGATGCATTCTGTCCATATTGGCATTGTCAGAATGAAGGCAGTAGCACGCAGCTTTGTTTGGTGGCCTGGCCTTGATCGCGATATTGAGCTTCTAGTGTCATCATGCAGTCACTGCCAAGCTCTAGCTAAAGCACCTAGCAAGGATGCCAGCCACCCATGGGTGTACCCCACAGAAGCTTTTGAGCGTGTTCATGTGGATTTTGCAGAATTCAACAACCAGCAGTATCTCGTCATCGTGGATGCATACTCTAAGTGGATCGACGCATACAAGCTTGGATCCACTGCCACTACTCAGCAGACGATTGACAGTTTGGTAACATTTATCGCAACGTTTGGTATACCCAAGACCCTCGTGAGTGACAATGGTCCTCAATTTACATCACACCAGTTCCAGCGTTTCTGCCGTGAGAGTGGTATTGTTCACAAGTGTACACCGCCGTACCACCCAGCTAGTAACGGACAAGTCGAACGCATTGTCCAGGAGTTGAAGCGTGCTCTGAAGTCCCGTCCTTCGGATGTGTCTGAGAAGACCCAGATGCACCGTTTCTTGTTTATGTATCGTAACACGCCCCATTCATCAACGAATGTGTCCCCAGCTAGTCTGCTCTTCAGGAAATTACCGAGCACCAAGTTGGCACGCTTAAAGCCCAACTTTGCAGCTGCACAGCGTGAACGTCAAGCACGGCCACAGCCAGGTCAAGGTCGTCATTTCGTGGTGGAGGACACTGTACTTGTATTGAACACTCGCAACGGCAGCGGGCCTAAGTGGCTACCTGGCGTTATTGTACAGAAGCTAGGTCCGGTCTCGTACATTGTTCGCATTGGTCAGCAGGAAAGACATGTCCATGTAGATCATCTCCGTCATCGTTCTACAGCGCCACCTGATGCTGTTCTTCCTCGCAGTGATGTTGACACACCGGTTTTGATTCAACCCGATAGTGCATTGCAGCCGTCAGTACCAGACGCTGCCAACGAGTCCGAACCGTCTGCACTTCCCAGTCCGTCTGCAGACCCTGTTGCACCGCGCCGATCAGCCCGTGCACCGAAGTCACCATCTAGGCTTATTAATGAGATGTGACTGCTTTACTGCTACCTTTACGCTATGGCTGTTATTTGAATATTGATCATAATTATCTCCGCTTTACTATTGCTTCTCTTAAGGGGGAGGATTGTTATGTTTGTATGTGCGCGTAAGCACGCTAGGCTCTGCGCATGTTTGCTTGCACGCTATGCTCTGCGCATGCGCACTCCAGTTCAGACTTCCTGTGTCTGAGTTTGTTCTTCTTTTCTATCTTGTTACTTTGCACGTCCATTATTCTCTTTGTAAATAATCCTAATACATTCCACAACTGTGTGTTCTTGTGAGTGGGAATGTAACAAGTACTGAGACATTGAGATCAATTATAATTGTTGGTTCATAATTATAGATTCTTTCCGGCTGTAGTCGTGCACCTCGAACACAAGACTATGAAGAAATTCCATGATGCCTTTGCTACATTAGCTGTGGCCACCAGTCAAACACTCTAAATATACCCAGGCTACCGCTCAGTGTTTGGTATTCTGTAAACATTTCAGGCAATTGTGTCGACACCTGTAGACATCTGACTGGTCTAAAGCCTAGTTCACGTTCGACGTAACACTGACGGTACAGGACGTAAGGGCCTGTCGGGACGGCTGGGGTGAGCTGTAAAATCTTTTACGATTCGTACGACACGACATGCTGCAGTCGTTGCGATGTTCTCCAGCGAACGGCGCGAGTCATAAGGCACAGTCCGTGACGGGGTGACTTTCGGACCTAATTTCTTGTTTTTCGGGACTTCTTTTCAATTATTTCTCCTTGAATGAAGCGAAATCAAATTCACAATACGAGTTTTTCATGGAGACAAAAAAGTAGCCCTGAAAGTTGTGCCATTCGAATAGTAGCCCTAGGAAATGATAAAACAGTTCATCTGTCATTCTCCTAAACTATCCCTAAATACCATAAGTGACATGAGATCTTATCTTGCTAAAATTCAACTCAAGTCGTGTTAGCCATTCTGCGAGTTATCATGGGAAGCGCAGTGTTCGAAATCCTAAAAATTTCCCAGTACGAATCGGGAGTGGATGGTGCACGACGCCGCCTCCTGTTCTCACTCAAAATGCAGCCGTTTTGTACGCTTGCGTCTCCGTCTATGCCCGTCTACGGTATGAAAAGTTGAACTGATCCAACACTTCCCGTCGCTTCCCGATCCGTACGGTAGTATGGTTGCGTTCCCGTTCCTGGTGTTCACATTGGACGCCGTCAGACCGTCCTGTCGCTTCCCATCGATCCTTACGCCGCGTCCCGTCGAATTTGAACTAGGCTTTATCAATATGAACTAGAGGAGTTCATGTTGTTGTTTCTAGAACGAAGAATCAGGCTTGTCGTCACCCTTTGGCTTGAAGCTCTTATCACCAACTTCCGCAACGAATCAATCGAAAAGATACCGTCTTGACTCCCGATCTCTTTCATAGCCACGCATCAATATTACTGCGCTTGAAAGTACACGATTGCACTCGTATCCACAATTGGATGGAGTGCAAGGGCTAGAATACTGCCACTGGTATGCATGCATAAAAAATCGTTTGCATTCGCTTTGAACACTAACGATTATCGATTGCGCTCTTAAAACGATCGGTTTGCGAGTTATCTGTATACTTGTTTCAGCCCTAAATGCATTGCCCTCGTAGAGGACAGGGATGAGCAGTGATATGAGCAGGGATGTGAGTACTGATGTGCCCTTCGTCCTCATATTTTACAGAGAAGACGTCTGCCCCCAATAATAAAATTAATGTAGTAATGATAATGCGTTGCCCTTTCATCTTCTCAGGAGCCCTATGCCTTTGCCTCTTCTCCCCTGGACTGAATGGACTGGACGCTCTGTCCAGTAGTGTCCAGTAAATGATTTGTAGTGTAAGTTAGGGTGCACTCTCTCTTGAGGATTTGCCCACCTTGATGATTGTGCTCTTCGTGTTATTAGAAAATGTCTCTACCTGCCAGGATGGTATAAGAGCACGAACTGAATCACCTGTTGGTGCAGAAGGCTTGGAGGACTGCTTTTGAAACAGTTGTTCAAATTTCCTGCACCTCTTCGTAGCCGTTGTCTGATTGCTGCATTCTGGGGAGACTGAAGTTAAGGTTAGTGAAGCTGCACAGTCCCCGTGGAAATGTTTATGCTGCAACTATTTACTGCTGACATGTATTTATGAATTTCAGGAATCTCCAGAGGGTGAAGGCTTGCTGCAAGCTCCGTCCCTTCAATGTCGTGATACATCCGTAGATCAGTCGTGTGCCTGTCCTGTGCTTTTATGAGCATGCTCCTTTGCACATGCCTTTGTCCTGTGCATGCGTGGGCGTGGGCGCGCGCGCGCGTGTGTGTGTGTGTGTGTGTGTGTGTGTACGCCAACGACACCGTCCGTGCACATGTGCATGGACGTGAGTTTGTGCGTTTGCCTTTGTTATATGCATACAGTATTATCAATTTATCATGCCTATACAAGCCTTGCCAGTGTCTCGATAGGAGAAGCAAATACATGATTACACCACTTGGGTTTTGACCTTCTTTGGCCGGGGCGAATGTCGAAGGAAAGACTCCCTCTGGGCCAAGGTGTTGGCGACAGTTGAGAGTTGTCCTCTATTTTGCAGCGGGGGACAGCATGGCATATTTGGTGCCGGAAAGAGTGCAGTTGCACTTTTCATGTTACTGTAAAATTTGCTAGGTCAATCCCTTTAAGCTGGAGACTGCTGATACTGCTGCTCAAACGGCTGCTGCTGTTACTCTCTGCTGCTACCATGGTCGTTGCTTTGTATCAATGGCGAAAATTCTCAGATGAGCTTTGGGTCCGGGCACTAGAACCCTGCTGCTGCCTCTGCAGCAGTTGTAGAAAGTTTTATAATACCAGTGTCGATGGTGAACTTCTGCTCTTTTTTTTTATCCCAGACACTTTGTGCTCAAGAGACTATTAGGTCTTTGTGGTGTTGTCGTTGCTGTTTGGTTATACTAGTTGGCGTCTGTTTGGAAATATATTGTGCTTTTCTGTGTGTTCATGTGAACGTAGAAGCCCTAACCGAAACCAACACTACGTTGCTGTGTTGTTTTCTTCCAAGGTCGGGCACAGTAAAGGAGACGACTCTGTGAGTATATTCGCAGATGAACTTTGGGTTAATAGAATGCAGGTGCTGCTGCTCTTGTGCCGGGCTGTTGGTGTCAATGATGGGGTGGATCATGCTTTCTCTTTATATACCTTTTGTATATTTGTGTGTAATTAGGAGCACATACCAACACGTAATCTTTCTAAAGCCTAGTTCTCTTTCGACGCAACGCTGACGGTACGGGACGTAAGGGCCTGTGACGGCTGGGGTGAGCTGTAAAATCTTGTACAATTCGTACGACACGACATGCTCCAGTCTTTGCGATGTTCAACAGCGAATGGTGCGAGTCATAAGGCACAGTCCTTGACGGGGTGACCGTCCCGGCGTTTCCCGTCGATCCTTATGTCGCGTCCCGTTGCGCCCCGTCGAATGTGAACTGGGCTTAACAATGGCATGGAGACAGTTTCAATTGCAGTTTAATGTTACTGCACTGCACTGCAGGTATCAAGGCACTACCCAGAGGGAGGATGTTGGCCTTCTCCTGATGGGAAAATGTCTTCTTTCTCATGGCGTGGCCAGGACTGCACTGACCCTACCATCCACTCTACCTCTCCGGAAAGGGACTTGACAACCAGTCAAGATGGATGTGCAGAGATATACCAGCGGTAAGTCACATGCTTAGGATATCCACTTGATGAAGGAAGGACAGGTGCTCAACTACTACACCAAAATGTGAGCATAAGGAGATGGGCTGATGGGTCATGGGTGGGTGACAGGTCTTTGCCCGGTTGCTGGAGTATAACAACCTGGGTCTTTGATTGGTTTAGAAGCGGTCCGCTCTATTTGGGGTGCCATCCTCAATTAGACGGGCAGTGAAGATCTTGCAGGATCAATCGCACATGTAGAATATGGACATGTGGATGCGGGCAGAAGATCTGTAATTTCCAGTATCAAAGTTCAGTTGTATTTGCTTTTCTTTATTGTCTATTTGTGATGTTGTTCACTGCAGCTTCTAGCATTAACTGCCAATTTGCACTGACGCAGCAAGACTCCCAACAGTCAAGTATGTTTCATTGCATGCACTAGGATTACAGTAGAATGCCGATTATCCGAATGTCAACTGTCCAAACGGTCAATTATCCGAAATTCCTGTTTGCACTGAATTCAATTCAATAAGTCGACTTATACCGGTAAAATATGGTAACAGCGGGACTGTAGGGTGTGGCATTTCCATGATACAGTGGAAAATTTCACGATTTTTGGTGCAAACATAGCTCGGACGCTGCTCGATTGGATATACAATGCAGGTTCTTGGAACCACGGACACGACTCTTCGATTCAAGGATCACAACACTTCGGGATCTGAACGTTTTAGGTTCGGGAGCTGTTCGCGGTTTTGTCGCTTGTCACGGTTGTGGACTCATCGTTGTAGCATAAATGAGGCTGGACTCATCGTTGTAGCATAAATGAGGCTGGACTATTCCAAGCGGAAAACTAAAATATTTCTTTCTCAAAGCACAATCACTGGCCCGGAGGAGCACACCTTCTCTAACTACATACCGGGTGCAGTACATGACACGTCCGTGTATTGACTAGTCTCTTGTACATTTAGATCTACCACACGACTCGCGTAGCGCTAGCACAGCAGTGCGGGTGTAGTCATGTACTACTACTACTACAGTACTGCCGGGCGCCGATGAACGGCCAGGCTATGATTTCGCTATTTTTTAAGAACGGTCTAAGTAGAAACGTAATGTACAATATGAATATGATGTACACTCAGACGTATAACTCTGCATAAATGTACTTGTAAGACTGTACCATCGAATATGAACGAAACTGCTGTGTTCGCCAAAAATAAGAACGGGCTAGGCTAGAACCCTGACCCCGTTCTTCGGTGCCCGGCAGTACTGTAGTGTAGTGTTCCGTATGTTTGTTGACTATGGCATGCACGCAGAAGCCAGCGGATGTAAAAAGTCCAACTCGGAAACGCCTAAAAACGGGGTATCCTCAAATTTTGCCGAGCTGAAAATCACAGGGTACGTAGGGCTTGTAACAGTGAGTCGAATGCTCTTGGTCCGAAGAAGCTGCGACAGATGGTTCTCAAATCGAACGCGTTTCGAATATTGGCCATTTTGCACACAAATAGATGGTGTGGCTACCTGGCTGCACACTGTGACCTTATCACTTGGATCAGGTAGACTGCGTGCTCGCTTTCGCTCATTTTCGATTGGGCGTATCTGACGAACCATGGACCGCAGCCTCCTCGGAAAAGAACATTCGACTCAGCGCCCCAAACCCTACGGGTCCTGAAATTAAAAAAATTCAGCAGACTTCCCCTCTAATACGTAAGGCAGAACTCATTACAGTCCTTGATTAGAAGTTGACATATTCTTGTACGAATCCGGTGGCAGCCACAACAATGTCTTTTGTGAAAAATGTATGCAAGCCTTTTAAAAAGCATTTCCCACCAGGCATTCGATCGAATTTTTCATGGCGCGGAGATTTGTTACGGCGTGAACCGATGCTTGTCGTGTAGAATTTGCTTTTTGATGTGTTCTTTGGAAGATGTAGTCTTAAAAATGGTGTGGATGTCTTTGTTTCTGTCCTTCTGCTGTCCTCGTAGAAAGAATAATAAAGACGTGCAGAAAATGTAGGAGAGCGATGACATCAGAAGGACACTCTCAGGTTCAGGGTACCTGTACTGCCCCAATAAATTGGGTCAGATCCCAAAACGAGGTTGACCGAAGCAAAAAAAATAGAAGAGCCTGCCTTGAATTGAATATGAGGAAGAAGAAGAAGACAAAGAAAGAAAAAGAGTAGGAATTTGCTTGTGTAAACTCTGTCTAGGCTGCCATCGCATTATAGCAGCCAACAGTGTGTGTGTGTGTGTGTGTGTGTGTGTGTGTGTGTGTGTGTGTGTGTGTGTCTGTGTGTGTGTGTCTGTGTGTGTGTGTGTGTGTGCGTGCGTGCGTGTGTGTGCATATGTGTGTGTGCATATGTGTGTGTGTTTGCGTCTGTGTGCACACGCTTGTGTGTGTGTGTGTGTTTGCATGTGTGTATATTCTGCTAATCTTGACTTAAATTTCCACATCTGGGCATATTGTGTTCTGCATGTGAATTTATCTTCATTAACTTGTGCACTACGTTCCTTTCTTCACGTTACGGCACTTTAGTATCGTTTTACTTGAACATCATACTCTCGCCCAACTTTGTTTCACCAACAAAGGTTTATTCTCCAAAGTATTTCTAATTGATTGTGTATGAGTTTCATACTACTGTCAGGGGCGTCGGAAGGTATTTTAGTGTGGTACGGTCAGCCATCTGAAGTACAATTGACTCGTGGGGGAGTGGTGGCTGAGCCTAAAATTTTGGAATTTTAGATCCCAGATCAGTGTATTTTGTTGACTCACGGGTATCTGGGGCAAAAAGTGGTACGGTCAATACCGTAGTGACCGTACCGTGTGCGACGCCCCTGACTGTTGGAATCCACCAGCTGTGTTTCCTTGAGGGGCGTATCCTTACCTGGGATGTGTTTTCTCATTCCCGGCAGCAGAAAGAGCTCTACAATATGTATATAATTTAAGAATAGAATTTGATGTACAGGAGAGTGCCAATTATCCCCACCCCTCGGGACGCGGGCTGTCTCCAGAGGGTTCAGATGAGAAGAATGTTCGGATAAGAGAGCAGTCACACATCTATCTAAATCATGCATATTCCAGCATGTAAACAGTCGACGAGGAGACAATAGTCGTAAAATGGCAATAAATAAGATAAATTGTGCACTCATAACAACAGCAAAAATGAAGAAAGTCAAGTTCCATAACGTTTTCTTGTGACTGTCATCAGTGGAACGCCGTCACATAAAAATGTAATAACTAAAACACACACTTATATACATGTAGCTAATATGGTTTCAGGTAGAAATACAGCAGCTAACAAGTACAAAAAGCGAAGTTTGCACCTTTGCAATGTGTGAATATAGTGTATGTGAGAAAGGTAGTGGCAGATGAATGTGATACTGTGTGAATGAATGTAATGGTGCGTGTGTATTACTTGAAGAGTGTGAGTGATACAACGTTTTCTTTCTGTTTGCATAGCACAGGGTCACGAGTACGAATATACACAGCTTCCAACACCTGCAATTGCTTGAAGAAACGTGCGCAACGAATAACACTAAACCAGGAATCGTCAAACACCTTACGACATTCTGGACTGGACACCAAATGCTTGTACACTGCAGCCATCTCATTTATCAATTTGAATGCCGACAATGTGGTAGTCGGTATGTTGGCAGGACGCTTCAACACTTGTCCGAACGCATCAAGCAGCACGTCCCATTATCATTGTTGTCCCAGGCTGCCAGGTTAAGCAGGCCGAAGCGTGGGAGACCACGAAAACATCCGCTGCCTATTTCTACACCTAGCACGGCTCACAATTCGGAAACAGAAGCACCGACTACTTCCATGGAGAACGAGCAGACTAATCTGGTTTCCGGCTCGGAAACCGGACCACGGCAAGGGAGGCCGCCGGACGGTCGCTCCTCGACAAACCATGTTGCTACAACGGTAAGAGCGGAAGGGGAACAACTTGAAAACAGAGCAGAACCGAGGAGAAGCAAGAGACTAGCAGAGGCACGACTGAGACAAGTGGAGAACACAAGGCAAGGAGACGCAGGAGGAAGCACAGGCACGGCACAGAACGAATCAAGGAGAGGGAAGCGGTGTTGCGAGGAGATGGAGACTGATGACGACGAATACGAGTGCGATGGGATGGACGGCGGCATTGGAATGGAGGTGGAGGATGAGAGTAGTGATGAGGAGGAGTTTGATGTTGACAAGAGGAAGTCTGCAGTGTACAAGCATTTGGTGTCCAGTCCAGAATGTCGTAAGGTGTTTGACGATTCCTGGTTTAGTGTTATTCGTTGCGCACGTTTCTTCAAGCAATTGCAGGTGTTGGAAGCTGTGTATATTCGTACTCGTGACCCTGTGCTATGCAAACAGAAAGAAAACGTTGTATCACTCACACTCTTCAAGTAATACACACGCACCATTACATTCATTCACACAGTATCACATTCATCTGCCACTACCTTTCTCACATACACTATATTCACACATTGCAAAGGTGCAAACTTCGCTTTTTGTACTTGTTAGCTGCTGTATTTCTACCTGAAACCATATTAGCTACATGTATATAAGTGTGTGTTTTAGTTATTACATTTTTATGTGACGGCGTTCCACTGATGACAGTCACAAGAAAACGTTATGGAACTTGACTTTCTTCATTTTTGCTGTTGTTATGAGTGCACAATTTATCTTATTTATTGCCATTTTATTCCAGCATGTTTTCATCATTTTCGTTCTCTTCAGCAGTGAAACAGGAACTAGGTGCACTCATGCTCCTCTAAATTAATGACACTATTATTACACATTTTGACTCAAACCTGTTTTAATACATCTTGTGAATCGCTTCAATGGTGCCCCGAGCGACGAAAATCACTAACTTTGAAACTCATCTTCTACCCCTCAATTAAATGCAAGCAATTATTTTGGATAATTAATCATTTGGATAGTTGACATTAGGAAAATCGGCACATTGTGTGTGATGGGGGGGGGGGGGAGGAAGAGGAGGAGGCTGCGAGAGGCCGTGGTGGACGTGTACCGGCTTGTGCACAGCCTGGAAATAGCCTCACTTTAGATGTATGCACATTCAAACGGTGGATGCTTCCCGCCATCCTTTTCCCCCTCTTTTTCCTTTTCCCGCCATTCTTTACCCCCTCTTTTTCAATTTCCCGCTCTTCTTTTCCCCCTCTTTTTCCCCCTTTCTCTCCCCTTTTCCCCCTTTTCTGCGAGAAGATTAGCCCCCTCCTTCGGGCGTAGATGGGCCGCGAATGAAACAAGATGAAACAAGATGAAACAAGATGAAACAATGTACGGGCGGAGATGGGCCGCGCGCAGTGCACCCGGCGTGACGTGCACGAGCGAAAAGAACTGAATTAATCCAATCATTGAAATAATTTTGTTTGCAGAGGCAATTCGCGCAAGGGAGATAGGAATTATTTGATGGCTTGCGAGTGATAGCACGAGCCGAATTTATTGCCCGTGGAAGTACCCACGATAGGAATACACTGTTGGGAACATGGTGGCGCCGCTGACGGTACCTATGTAAGTGGAATTACTTTATTGGAAGTACCCACGACGGGGAAAATAGTCTCTCTAGTATTGTCGGTGAATGGTGATGGTGGTGGTGGCGATGGCTACTTTCCTCTGCTCAGAGAGAACCCCTGCATGTCCTTCGTCGTGATGCGAAAGAGCAGTGGATGCAGGTAAAGGCCGTGTCAGAGAATTTCGCCTAGTGCTGTGGCCAGGGTGAAAATAAATTAGGGCTGAAACGATCTTTCAATAACTCCAAGCGATCAACCAATCTCGTTAGCGATGAATATCATTGTAACATAGAAAAATGTGGGCACAAGTTATGCAATCGAGTCCACCAACTAAACCAGATTTCGAATAGTCAGACGTGCACAATCTAGCACAAAACTGACAAGGAGTATGAGTACTGAGACATTGAGATCAATTATAATTGTTGGTTCATAATTATAGATTCTTTCCGGCTGTAGTCGTGCACCTCGAACACAAGACTATGAAGAAATTCCATGATGCCTTTGCTACATTAGCTGTGGCCACCAGTCAAACACTCTAAATATACCCAGGCTACCGCTCAGTGTTTGGTATTCTGTAAACATTTCAGGCAATTGTGTCGACACCTGTAGACATCTGACTGGTCTAAAGCCTAGTTCACGTTCGACGTAACACTGACGGTACAGGACGTAAGGGCCTGTCGGGACGGCTGGGGTGAGCTGTAAAATCTTTTACGATTCGTACGACACGACATGCTGCAGTCGTTGCGATGTTCTCCAGCGAACGGCGCGAGTCATAAGGCACAGTCCGTGACGGGGTGACTTTCGGACCTAATTTCTTGTTTTTCGGGACTTCTTTTCAATTATTTCTCCTTGAATGAAGCGAAATCAAATTCACAATACGAGTTTTTCATGGAGACAAAAAAGTAGCCCTGAAAGTTGTGCCATTCGAATAGTAGCCCTAGGAAATGATAAAACAGTTCATCTGTCATTCTCCTAAACTATCCCTAAATACCATAAGTGACATGAGATCTTATCTTGCTAAAATTCAACTCAAGTCGTGTTAGCCATTCTGCGAGTTATCATGGGAAGCGCAGTGTTCGAAATCCTAAAAATTTCCCAGTACGAATCGGGAGTGGATGGTGCACGACGCCGCCTCCTGTTCTCACTCAAAATGCAGCCGTTTTGTACGCTTGCGTCTCCGTCTATGCCCGTCTACGGTATGAAAAGTTGAACTGATCCAACACTTCCCGTCGCTTCCCGATCCGTACGGTAGTATGGTTGCGTTCCCGTTCCTGGTGTTCACATTGGACGCCGTCAGACCGTCCTGTCGCTTCCCATCGATCCTTACGCCGCGTCCCGTCGAATTTGAACTAGGCTTTATCAATATGAACTAGAGGAGTTCATGTTGTTGTTTCTAGAACGAAGAATCAGGCTTGTCGTCACCCTTTGGCTTGAAGCTCTTATCACCAACTTCCGCAACGAATCAATCGAAAAGATACCGTCTTGACTCCCGATCTCTTTCATAGCCACGCATCAATATTACTGCGCTTGAAAGTACACGATTGCACTCGTATCCACAATTGGATGGAGTGCAAGGGCTAGAATACTGCCACTGGTATGCATGCATAAAAAATCGTTTGCATTCGCTTTGAACACTAACGATTATCGATTGCGCTCTTAAAACGATCGGTTTGCGAGTTATCTGTATACTTGTTTCAGCCCTAAATGCATTGCCCTCGTAGAGGACAGGGATGAGCAGTGATATGAGCAGGGATGTGAGTACTGATGTGCCCTTCGTCCTCATATTTTACAGAGAAGACGTCTGCCCCCAATAATAAAATTAATGTAGTAATGATAATGCGTTGCCCTTTCATCTTCTCAGGAGCCCTATGCCTTTGCCTCTTCTCCCCTGGACTGAATGGACTGGACGCTCTGTCCAGTAGTGTCCAGTAAATGATTTGTAGTGTAAGTTAGGGTGCACTCTCTCTTGAGGATTTGCCCACCTTGATGATTGTGCTCTTCGTGTTATTAGAAAATGTCTCTACCTGCCAGGATGGTATAAGAGCACGAACTGAATCACCTGTTGGTGCAGAAGGCTTGGAGGACTGCTTTTGAAACAGTTGTTCAAATTTCCTGCACCTCTTCGTAGCCGTTGTCTGATTGCTGCATTCTGGGGAGACTGAAGTTAAGGTTAGTGAAGCTGCACAGTCCCCGTGGAAATGTTTATGCTGCAACTATTTACTGCTGACATGTATTTATGAATTTCAGGAATCTCCAGAGGGTGAAGGCTTGCTGCAAGCTCCGTCCCTTCAATGTCGTGATACATCCGTAGATCAGTCGTGTGCCTGTCCTGTGCTTTTATGAGCATGCTCCTTTGCACATGCCTTTGTCCTGTGCATGCGTGGGCGTGGGCGCGCGCGCGCGTGTGTGTGTGTGTGTGTGTGTGTGTGTACGCCAACGACACCGTCCGTGCACATGTGCATGGACGTGAGTTTGTGCGTTTGCCTTTGTTATATGCATACAGTATTATCAATTTATCATGCCTATACAAGCCTTGCCAGTGTCTCGATAGGAGAAGCAAATACATGATTACACCACTTGGGTTTTGACCTTCTTTGGCCGGGGCGAATGTCGAAGGAAAGACTCCCTCTGGGCCAAGGTGTTGGCGACAGTTGAGAGTTGTCCTCTATTTTGCAGCGGGGGACAGCATGGCATATTTGGTGCCGGAAAGAGTGCAGTTGCACTTTTCATGTTACTGTAAAATTTGCTAGGTCAATCCCTTTAAGCTGGAGACTGCTGATACTGCTGCTCAAACGGCTGCTGCTGTTACTCTCTGCTGCTACCATGGTCGTTGCTTTGTATCAATGGCGAAAATTCTCAGATGAGCTTTGGGTCCGGGCACTAGAACCCTGCTGCTGCCTCTGCAGCAGTTGTAGAAAGTTTTATAATACCAGTGTCGATGGTGAACTTCTGCTCTTTTTTTTTATCCCAGACACTTTGTGCTCAAGAGACTATTAGGTCTTTGTGGTGTTGTCGTTGCTGTTTGGTTATACTAGTTGGCGTCTGTTTGGAAATATATTGTGCTTTTCTGTGTGTTCATGTGAACGTAGAAGCCCTAACCGAAACCAACACTACGTTGCTGTGTTGTTTTCTTCCAAGGTCGGGCACAGTAAAGGAGACGACTCTGTGAGTATATTCGCAGATGAACTTTGGGTTAATAGAATGCAGGTGCTGCTGCTCTTGTGCCGGGCTGTTGGTGTCAATGATGGGGTGGATCATGCTTTCTCTTTATATACCTTTTGTATATTTGTGTGTAATTAGGAGCACATACCAACACGTAATCTTTCTAAAGCCTAGTTCTCTTTCGACGCAACGCTGACGGTACGGGACGTAAGGGCCTGTGACGGCTGGGGTGAGCTGTAAAATCTTGTACAATTCGTACGACACGACATGCTCCAGTCTTTGCGATGTTCAACAGCGAATGGTGCGAGTCATAAGGCACAGTCCTTGACGGGGTGACCGTCCCGGCGTTTCCCGTCGATCCTTATGTCGCGTCCCGTTGCGCCCCGTCGAATGTGAACTGGGCTTAACAATGGCATGGAGACAGTTTCAATTGCAGTTTAATGTTACTGCACTGCACTGCAGGTATCAAGGCACTACCCAGAGGGAGGATGTTGGCCTTCTCCTGATGGGAAAATGTCTTCTTTCTCATGGCGTGGCCAGGACTGCACTGACCCTACCATCCACTCTACCTCTCCGGAAAGGGACTTGACAACCAGTCAAGATGAATGTGCAGAGATATACCAGCGGTAAGTCACATGCTTAGGATATCCACTTGATGAAGGAAGGACAGGTGCTCAACTACTACACCAAAATGTGAGCATAAGGAGATGGGCTGATGGGTCATGGGTGGGTGACAGGTCTTTGCCCGGTTGCTGGAGTATAACAACCTGGGTCTTTGATTGGTTTAGAAGCGGTCCGCTCTATTTGGGGTGCCATCCTCAATTAGACGGGCAGTGAAGATCTTGCAGGATCAATCGCACATGTAGAATATGGACATGTGGATGCGGGCAGAAGATCTGTAATTTCCAGTATCAAAGTTCAGTTGTATTTGCTTTTCTTTATTGTCTATTTGTGATGTTGTTCACTGCAGCTTCTAGCATTAACTGCCAATTTGCACTGACGCAGCAAGACTCCCAACAGTCAAGTATGTTTCATTGCATGCACTAGGATTACAGTAGAATGCCGATTATCCGAATGTCAACTGTCCAAACGGTCAATTATCCGAAATTCCTGTTTGCACTGAATTCAATTCAATAAGTCGACTTATACCGGTAAAATATGGTAACAGCGGGACTGTAGGGTGTGGCATTTCCATGATACAGTGGAAAATTTCACGATTTTTGGTGCAAACATAGCTCGGACGCTGCTCGATTGGATATACAATGCAGGTTCTTGGAACCACGGACACGACTCTTCGATTCAAGGATCACAACACTTCGGGATCTGAACGTTTTAGGTTCGGGAGCTGTTCGCGGTTTTGTCGCTTGTCACGGTTGTGGACTCATCGTTGTAGCATAAATGAGGCTGGACTCATCGTTGTAGCATAAATGAGGCTGGACTATTCCAAGCGGAAAACTAAAATATTTCTTTCTCAAAGCACAATCACTGGCCCGGAGGAGCACACCTTCTCTAACTACATACCGGGTGCAGTACATGACACGTCCGTGTATTGACTAGTCTCTTGTACATTTAGATCTACCACACGACTCGCGTAGCGCTAGCACAGCAGTGCGGGTGTAGTCATGTACTACTACTACTACAGTACTGCCGGGCGCCGATGAACGGCCAGGCTATGATTTCGCTATTTTTTAAGAACGGTCTAAGTAGAAACGTAATGTACAATATGAATATGATGTACACTCAGACGTATAACTCTGCATAAATGTACTTGTAAGACTGTACCATCGAATATGAACGAAACTGCTGTGTTCGCCAAAAATAAGAACGGGCTAGGCTAGAACCCTGACCCCGTTCTTCGGTGCCCGGCAGTACTGTAGTGTAGTGTTCCGTATGTTTGTTGACTATGGCATGCACGCAGAAGCCAGCGGATGTAAAAAGTCCAACTCGGAAACGCCTAAAAACGGGGTATCCTCAAATTTTGCCGAGCTGAAAATCACAGGGTACGTAGGGCTTGTAACAGTGAGTCGAATGCTCTTGGTCCGAAGAAGCTGCGACAGATGGTTCTCAAATCGAACGCGTTTCGAATATTGGCCATTTTGCACACAAATAGATGGTGTGGCTACCTGGCTGCACACTGTGACCTTATCACTTGGATCAGGTAGACTGCGTGCTCGCTTTCGCTCATTTTCGATTGGGCGTATCTGACGAACCATGGACCGCAGCCTCCTCGGAAAAGAACATTCGACTCAGCGCCCCAAACCCTACGGGTCCTGAAATTAAAAAAATTCAGCAGACTTCCCCTCTAATACGTAAGGCAGAACTCATTACAGTCCTTGATTAGAAGTTGACATATTCTTGTACGAATCCGGTGGCAGCCACAACAATGTCTTTTGTGAAAAATGTATGCAAGCCTTTTAAAAAGCATTTCCCACCAGGCATTCGATCGAATTTTTCATGGCGCGGAGATTTGTTACGGCGTGAACCGATGCTTGTCGTGTAGAATTTGCTTTTTGATGTGTTCTTTGGAAGATGTAGTCTTAAAAATGGTGTGGATGTCTTTGTTTCTGTCCTTCTGCTGTCCTCGTAGAAAGAATAATAAAGACGTGCAGAAAATGTAGGAGAGCGATGACATCAGAAGGACACTCTCAGGTTCAGGGTACCTGTACTGCCCCAATAAATTGGGTCAGATCCCAAAACGAGGTTGACCGAAGCAAAAAAAATAGAAGAGCCTGCCTTGAATTGAATATGAGGAAGAAGAAGAAGACAAAGAAAGAAAAAGAGTAGGAATTTGCTTGTGTAAACTCTGTCTAGGCTGCCATCGCATTATAGCAGCCAACAGTGTGTGTGTGTGTGTGTGTGTGTGTGTGTGTGTGTGTGTGTGTGTGTGTGTGTGTGTGTGTGTGTCTGTGTGTGTGTGTCTGTGTGTGTGTGTGTGTGCGTGCGTGCGTGTGTGTGCATATGTGTGTGTGCATATGTGTGTGTGTTTGCGTCTGTGTGCACACGCTTGTGTGTGTGTGTGTGTTTGCATGTGTGTATATTCTGCTAATCTTGACTTAAATTTCCACATCTGGGCATATTGTGTTCTGCATGTGAATTTATCTTCATTAACTTGTGCACTACGTTCCTTTCTTCACGTTACGGCACTTTAGTATCGTTTTACTTGAACATCATACTCTCGCCCAACTTTGTTTCACCAACAAAGGTTTATTCTCCAAAGTATTTCTAATTGATTGTGTATGAGTTTCATACTACTGTCAGGGGCGTCGGAAGGTATTTTAGTGTGGTACGGTCAGCCATCTGAAGTACAATTGACTCGTGGGGGAGTGGTGGCTGAGCCTAAAATTTTGGAATTTTAGATCCCAGATCAGTGTATTTTGTTGACTCACGGGTATCTGGGGCAAAAAGTGGTACGGTCAATACCGTAGTGACCGTACCGTGTGCGACGCCCCTGACTGTTGGAATCCACCAGCTGTGTTTCCTTGAGGGGCGTATCCTTACCTGGGATGTGTTTTCTCATTCCCGGCAGCAGAAAGAGCTCTACAATATGTATATAATTTAAGAATAGAATTTGATGTACAGGAGAGTGCCAATTATCCCCACCCCTCGGGACGCGGGCTGTCTCCAGAGGGTTCAGATGAGAAGAATGTTCGGATAAGAGAGCAGTCACACATCTATCTAAATCATGCATATTCCAGCATGTAAACAGTCGACGAGGAGACAATAGTCGTAAAATGGCAATAAATAAGATAAATTGTGCACTCATAACAACAGCAAAAATGAAGAAAGTCAAGTTCCATAACGTTTTCTTGTGACTGTCATCAGTGGAACGCCGTCACATAAAAATGTAATAACTAAAACACACACTTATATACATGTAGCTAATATGGTTTCAGGTAGAAATACAGCAGCTAACAAGTACAAAAAGCGAAGTTTGCACCTTTGCAATGTGTGAATATAGTGTATGTGAGAAAGGTAGTGGCAGATGAATGTGATACTGTGTGAATGAATGTAATGGTGCGTGTGTATTACTTGAAGAGTGTGAGTGATACAACGTTTTCTTTCTGTTTGCATAGCACAGGGTCACGAGTACGAATATACACAGCTTCCAACACCTGCAATTGCTTGAAGAAACGTGCGCAACGAATAACACTAAACCAGGAATCGTCAAACACCTTACGACATTCTGGACTGGACACCAAATGCTTGTACACTGCAGCCATCTCATTTATCAATTTGAATGCCGACAATGTGGTAGTCGGTATGTTGGCAGGACGCTTCAACACTTGTCCGAACGCATCAAGCAGCACGTCCCATTATCATTGTTGTCCCAGGCTGCCAGGTTAAGCAGGCCGAAGCGTGGGAGACCACGAAAACATCCGCTGCCTATTTCTACACCTAGCACGGCTCACAATTCGGAAACAGAAGCACCGACTACTTCCATGGAGAACGAGCAGACTAATCTGGTTTCCGGCTCGGAAACCGGACCACGGCAAGGGAGGCCGCCGGACGGTCGCTCCTCGACAAACCATGTTGCTACAACGGTAAGAGCGGAAGGGGAACAACTTGAAAACAGAGCAGAACCGAGGAGAAGCAAGAGACTAGCAGAGGCACGACTGAGACAAGTGGAGAACACAAGGCAAGGAGACGCAGGAGGAAGCACAGGCACGGCACAGAACGAATCAAGGAGAGGGAAGCGGTGTTGCGAGGAGATGGAGACTGATGACGACGAATACGAGTGCGATGGGATGGACGGCGGCATTGGAATGGAGGTGGAGGATGAGAGTAGTGATGAGGAGGAGTTTGATGTTGACAAGAGGAAGTCTGCAGTGTACAAGCATTTGGTGTCCAGTCCAGAATGTCGTAAGGTGTTTGACGATTCCTGGTTTAGTGTTATTCGTTGCGCACGTTTCTTCAAGCAATTGCAGGTGTTGGAAGCTGTGTATATTCGTACTCGTGACCCTGTGCTATGCAAACAGAAAGAAAACGTTGTATCACTCACACTCTTCAAGTAATACACACGCACCATTACATTCATTCACACAGTATCACATTCATCTGCCACTACCTTTCTCACATACACTATATTCACACATTGCAAAGGTGCAAACTTCGCTTTTTGTACTTGTTAGCTGCTGTATTTCTACCTGAAACCATATTAGCTACATGTATATAAGTGTGTGTTTTAGTTATTACATTTTTATGTGACGGCGTTCCACTGATGACAGTCACAAGAAAACGTTATGGAACTTGACTTTCTTCATTTTTGCTGTTGTTATGAGTGCACAATTTATCTTATTTATTGCCATTTTATTCCAGCATGTTTTCATCATTTTCGTTCTCTTCAGCAGTGAAACAGGAACTAGGTGCACTCATGCTCCTCTAAATTAATGACACTATTATTACACATTTTGACTCAAACCTGTTTTAATACATCTTGTGAATCGCTTCAATGGTGCCCCGAGCGACGAAAATCACTAACTTTGAAACTCATCTTCTACCCCTCAATTAAATGCAAGCAATTATTTTGGATAATTAATCATTTGGATAGTTGACATTAGGAAAATCGGCACATTGTGTGTGATGGGGGGGGGGAGGAAGAGGAGGAGGCTGCGAGAGGCCGTGGTGGACGTGTACCGGCTTGTGCACAGCCTGGAAATAGCCTCACTTTAGATGTATGCACATTCAAACGGTGGATGCTTCCCGCCATCCTTTTCCCCCTCTTTTTCCTTTTCCCGCCATTCTTTACCCCCTCTTTTTCAATTTCCCGCTCTTCTTTTCCCCCTCTTTTTCCCCCTTTCTCTCCCCTTTTCCCCCTTTTCTGCGAGAAGATTAGCCCCCTCCTTGCGCAAAGGGTACACTGACAACATACTAGTACTAGGAATTTGACAGCATGTTACAAGGCGAGGACGCGTAGTGCTCCTGACTGTCCTCGCCTTGTAACATGCTGTCAAAATCAAAAAACATGTTAAACTACCAAGCAAGGCTTCCTGGCTGTATATAGTACTAGGAACTAGTCCTTGATTAGCAGCAGTGGTCTGAATTATTGCCTGGCCGCTATTCATATAATCCTTTGGTGCTTACTCATCGCCTTGTTCTGTCTCTAAAATGGCGTATGGGTGTTCTGAGGCTTGTAATATTTGCTCAAGCCGCGCATTGGCATTGGTGCATGTTGGTAAATGCCAGCCACTGCTGCCTAGCTCAACATGTTTTGTATGATGTAGAATGCGCTCTGTGTATCTACAATCGAGTGACCTGCTTGTGTGGGCTAACTGTAACTACACCAACAGTTGCACTAGTATGTGCACTGTGCTGGCACAGTGCACATACTCAGTCTTGTCACTTCTTCTCCCACGTTTACTGTATTGTTTAATTCACTGTACACATCTTGCCCAGCTCCTCTAAGGCCACACAGAATTAGTTTGTTGTTTTGGGCCACTACACTCAGCTGGTGTAAGGTTGGTCTGCTTCTCTCTTCCTTCTCTTCGACGTGTCCAGCCAATCATTCATGTCAAGCTTTGCATAACTTAGATCACTGTATATACAGTCACCTGGCTGGAAACGTCCATGGCTGCAAAATCCCATCTTTCTTGAGGGACCCCATTTTATAGAGTGGACGACATTCACTTTCCTGATAGACTCACCTCAGATGTTGGTACACTGTATTGTACCCATCCCTGATTTGTACATGCACCACTTTTTTGGCAACTCCGAACAGTGAGAATGTCTGCTGTGGATAGTTCTCATGCTTTTAAACTCATTCGTAAACAAGTACAGTTTATACCACCAAAATGTAGTTCATTACAAGCCGTCGATTATGATCCTTTGTTGAGACGAAAGCTTCGGGACCTGGGAGTACTTGTGACATACCCATCTCATACTCTGTCAGGTTCTGAAGCTGTGTGCTGTGTGCCAGGGGTTATGGCGATCGAGTGCATGTATGTTCGGATAAGGGCGTGGGAAAACACTCATCTAAAACATACTCATTTCCTCATGCATACTTTCATTTCTCATTCTTTTTGGCACACACTCCAGCTCCTCGAAATTATCATGGGATGCATGTTGATGACAGCCTGCTGCCATGCAGCCTGAGCAGTTCGGACAATCAATAGACACCCTTAGCAAACAACGGTAACGCTATTTTTTACGGTACGAGGTGATTCGTCATTATTTAACACGAAAGTAAAAAAGCCTTCCGTAGGGTTCGAGGTGCGAATCTTTCCATTTCTTCCTCTAAAAATGTAATACTGATGTCCTTGGATTGCAATGTTGGGTTTCTCATTCACATAATCCTTGGTGTTGGGAAGCAGGTGGCAGTTGAAAAATGGCAATTTTTCCTCATATTATTTGTTGTGGTCATTTCTTAACATCATGGTAAAATAGGCCTTAGCAGCACAATTTCAAGTCAGTTTTCAATAGAAAGAGACCCTACGTATCCAGGATGGTCCAGCAAGACTGGATCAAGATCATGTTCATCCAAATACAAGCCATTCAAGCTTGCATAGCAATAGGTGTATCACCCTGATTTCATGTGCAATTGTGATCAACATCTGTTAGCAAATTCAGTGATTGCCAATGTTTGGCCATTACCAGGGCCAACACACCGACATTCCGCCTTCCCAGGCGTCGTTTCCAGTATGTAGCTATCATATGCTTCCTCTTCAGCTAAATATGTTGTCACTGGAGGTTGAAACCAGCGGCTATGACTCTCTTATACTCTATTTTACCGTAAACATCGCGCACATGCAGACTGAAAGCTCTTGCAATGTCACTTCCTGAAGGAGTATCAGTCTCAATTTTGGAGGCGAACTTGACAGAACATTGGCAATGGCAATGGCAAAAAGAAATTGGACGTGACTTTTTGCAGGCGCTGGCAATGGGATATTTTACCGATTTGTTAAGAAATGACTCAATGTTAAAAAATTCCGAATCACCTCGTACTCGTACCTTGATCACCCAAATAGCGTTGAAGCTGCAGCGTATAAACGTTATGGGGGCTGATTTATCGTTGTGACCAACGGTAAGTGTTTTGGCCAAATATTGCATAGTCCGTACGCATTTCACCTTGTATAGCGTATATGGTGACAAAAATGGTTGTAGCGCGCGAGATCAAAGCTATTCTCGTGGCAACAGCGTACTAAAAATAGCGTGCATCTTGCTAATGGTCGAACCCGAATCACGGTATTTTCCCCCTTAGGGGCTATCCGTAATTATCGATCTTTTTCACGAAACGAAAAAGTTTAGTTATGACCCACCCCCA